CTTCATATATACTTTCCACATTGGGTGGTGTGGATGACTGATAGCAGCTCTTAAGAAGCATTAGCTCACCGAGCAGTTGTTAGCAGTAGGTAAGTAAGATTCAAAAGACAGATGGCCTGAAATCAGAAACAAGTTAGCACTCTGGACAACCTAAAAGCAAGCCCTGATACCCTATATCTCTCCTTTGCTCCGGGTGATGACGAGGTTGCCAGCTAAAGCGTGTCTTCTCCTTTTAGGGTTTAAGTCCTTGCTGTTGGCAAATTGTTTTCATGTTTGGTAAACTGGCCAACTTGTGACCTGTTAGTTGCTGACAAGTGAAGAGGGTGCTCTTCTATCCTTGGGACAGTAATAAAAAAAATAAGAGGCTAGATCCTCAAATCTGATCTGGCACTTCTGAGGAGCTCAGGAAGTGAAAAGGAGCTAGCAATCATCCTGCTGCAAATGGCCAGTCAGAAATTCCTCTCTTGGAATCACCTTGCAGGAAACCTCACCTTGCAGGAAGGACAAAAATAAGAAGCAAGCAGAGATCTGCCCCATACAGAGCCCATCTTAACCCCAATTATCATATCAATGTCATTTGGGAGTTTTAACCCATAGTAGGATATACTCTGCTGAGAAAAAAAAACAGCTGTACTGATAGCCTCTGTTTGGTGGCTCATCAGATTGCTCTGAGTTCTGCCATCAGCTGCCTGCCATCAGTATTTCTTGGGAGAAGAGAGCTTATCAGCAACATCTGAGCCAAATTTCTGTGGGAATGGAGAAGAAAAAGGAAGGGTGTTTGGAGCTCCTTGATTTTCTTCGAGAGGCAGAGACACAGGGGAAGGTTTCTCCAGACCTTGATGGAGCTCCAGAGAAGAAACATCTTTCCTGGGAAGGAAAACATTGGCAGCATTAATTATAGTTAATGCCAACTGCTAAGAAAAAGGTAAACAATGAGGCAGATCTCAACAAACTAGAGATTAAAAGCCTGTTTCTGGATTGTGTTAATGGCCTCCTGGTGCTTCAGCTTGTGGTGCAGGAAAGGGCTGGAGCTTCGTGGGAAGGGAGGGACTAGTTGTTACCTTTAATGGCTTTCTTCATCTTTCACAAGAATTGGAAGTATTGTTTAGAAAATTGAAAAATGATGGTCTTACACAGTCCTGTGTCTTCAGGACCTGGAGTAAAAGACTTAAAGATCATTTAACGACTGAATAAAATGGTAAATGAGCAACATTGTCAAAGTGCATGCAGCACATCTGGCTGCCTTGTCTTTAAGCCATCTGAGTTTGTGATGGAAGTATCGTACGGTAAGCCTCTACCACAACAAAAAACTGGGATAAGTATGCACTAAGACAGGAAAAATTGTGTTTGCTTTTGTTATGTTATGACTGTGTAGATCCTCACTTCCTTTGTCAAGACACTGCGAATCACCAACCATCCGTATAGGACTAATATGCTCTACATCCAGATTAGAACTCATTAAAAAAATTTCCTTAAAAATTATTCTCTTTATTTTTTATGAATTTTAACACCCCCCTCCCCTCCCACTGAAACATTTGATTATTGAAATTGATGTTTAGTTTCTTGGGAAAACAACTGGAATGAATGGAGGCTTTCACACTAGGACCTTACCAGAGCTGTGGTTCAGCCAGCCCAGCTGTTCTCTCTCAGGTTGGTTCTTCACCCATAGCACTGCATTCTGGGGAGCTCTGCTCCTCAGCAGCAAAGCAGGGAGTATCAACAGTTCTCATCAGCCATTTTGGAGGCTTTTCTAAAACACATTTACACATTTGTTCTATTTTTTAATTATTATTTTTTAAATGTCTTTTTAACCAAAGTATAGAATCACCTGGGTTGAAAAGGGACCACAATGATCATCTGGTTTCAACCCCCTGCTGTGTGCAGGGTCACCAACCACCAGACCAGGCTGCCCAGAGCCACATCCAGCCTGGCCTTGCATGCCTCCAGGGATGGGGCATCCACAGCCTCCTTGGGCAACCTGTTCCAGTGCGTCACCACACTCTGTGTGAAAAACTTCCTCCTAATATCTAACCGAATAACCTGGATGTTTCTATCGCTTTTTTTTCTTTCCATTTATTTTTCTTTTTTTCTTAAAAAAAAAAAAAAAAAAATTCCTTGCAAAGCAAGAGGGAAGTGCTGCTCAGCTGGTACAAACTACTTTTGCACTTGTGCCATTTGGCACTTGATGCAGTTATTATTTATCTGTATTGCCGTCGTGCCTGTGAGCCCTGATAGAGACCAGAAGCATGCAATAAAGAGCAATGCTTCTGTCGTGAAGGTGAGTAACAGATTTTAAACTAATAACAAATTCCTATCTTTGTTTGACAGATCCCTTAGTACCTTTCAGACCATGATAAAAATTGAAATATAGAGGAGTAAAAATAAGGACGTGTTGAGGTTTATATTCTATAAGATGCCAAATCTGGAAAAAATGCTAGAATATATGCGAGATATGCACTAAATGCAACAAGCAGAGACCTTTTAGCAGTTAAAAACAAGAACTAGGTCCTTCTACTCCATCAAACATAAGATAGAAAAGTATTTTTTATATATTTTTGTTAGGTTCAGCAATAATGCATAATATTGAATTGCCACCTCCCCTTAGAGGCATATGAGTGCATTCTCTGACATTTGATTTGGTGACAACCTCAAAACCCTATGTGCTTCTCGTTCTTTTTGTTTACTCTCTAACTAGTTGCTTTATCATCTTGATTTTTGTAGGAAAGAAGAAAAAATCAACACAAAACCCATAGATATAAGAGCACTACCCCTCTTCCTATGTATATGAAAGTGATCAAAGGCTCGTAGTGCTTATGTGACACACACACACAGAATGACTATACAAAGGACATACAGCAGTGTAGCTAACAGCTGCTCCCTCCTAAAAGTCTTTCAGCATTCTGCAGAGTCCAGGGACCCAAAAACCTTACTAAACAGTCTCCTCTATATCAAATTAATTAGGAAATTTGTTTTAGAGGCATGTTTCCAGTTTTGCCTTCATGTTAGCATTTCCAAACTTTCCCTGGAACCAGCTCTAGTGTTTTAAAGCAAATGCCATGTGGGAGGAGAGCAATAGTGCTGAGCAAGAACAGGAGCAGCACGGGATGGCTGTCTGCCAGGTTCTGCATCGTCATCCCGAAATCCAGTTCTGCAGGAGCTGTGACTCACTTCCATGGATGTAAAAGTAGAAAGTTTATACAAACCCCAGGAGAGCTGTGGAGTTCTGTTGCCAATGCCCTGCTGGCTGCTAGCTCTAGAGTTTCTTGCCTGGTTCTCTCCATCTCACCCCTGGATTTTCAAAGTCCTCCATTGTTCATTAATTGTCTGCCTTATCTCTATAGCCATGCTAGTTTTGTCACTCAGGAGCTGCAGGCAAAACAGGCGCGCTGACCTCAGGAGGAGAAAAGGGAGGGTCGGTGGATCAGATCGTGCCAAGTTCATACCTGCACAGTGTCTGACCTGCCAAATGGAGTCAGGGTGTCTCCCTTTGGGGGCCTAGCCAGTCCCCACAGCCCCAAGGAGAGGCTGTTATCTCTAAGATGGGGTTGGGAGCAGCAGGAGAGGAGTCTTCAAGCAGAAGAGAAAACAAGGTGAGATACTGTCCTGTCTCCAGGGTTAATGGCCTTCACTGGCAAGCGTTAAATCAAGTCCAGACAGGAATCCCACATAATATTCAAGTGTTAAAAGAGATTGAGAGAAGAGAAAGCAAGAGATAATTAATATTAAGTGGTTGTCTCTGGTCCTTGTATAAGAAAGAGTTAAGAAGATCAGGGCCACAGACATCAGTATGATCAAACACTCATCTGCATCAACAGACCCCATACCTCTGATCTGGTTAGACCACAGTAGAGCAAAAGACCTGAGCAAAAGTCTACCCCTGAATTCAGTTCTGATCTTCCAGGATAAACTCAGTGCAGAAGGCAGTGGATCCCCACCCTCTCTGACTTCAGAAAAAGAAAGGTTTTGGCACTTGCCCATTACTTTTTAAGATAATAGCATTTTTGATAGCCATTAAAAATAAATACATGAAAGGTTGCACGGACTATGAGTTAGGATATAACTTTGATCACTGTTCAGAGCTTTGCTGTGTCATGGAAGTGAATGAGGGAACTGCTCTTGGCCTTTTCTCTGTAAATTAATAATGGAGGACACAGATTTTTTTTTCTTCATTTGCAGAAGTGATTTAAATTAATATACTGGAAAAAAAAATCCAATTTAATGATGGCTTTACTGAACTACTGGGTTGTATGGTTTGTTTTCTGCTTTTATTGGATTTTCTTTCAGGTTACAAGGCATGGTAAGTAAGCTGCTTTACTTCTTACATTCCACTAATTCATCTTTTCCTTCTGTTTGCTTCTTCCATAAAGTCGTAATCCAATATCCACACAACAATCATTTGCAGCATCTCAGCTAATTACATCACAGTGCTTTGAGATTTTTGGTGAGGATTAAATGACACGGTGACAGCTTTCTGCTTCCATATTTCTGCTGCCTATTTTTACATCTTCACCAGTAAATTAGAGAGAATGCACAAAAAGGTCAACACATAGTCCAGAAGGAAAGTGAACAGTGTTCTGTGCTTTCATAGTTTTTGAATGGTCCATAGGACTGATTTTTAGTCTGAAATTTCCCTCAAGAAATGGCAGTCAGTTTCATATAAGCTAAACGGAGGCCTTAAAGATTTATGCCATACCGTGGCTGTTCATTAGCCTGTGTGAAATAACCTGGTTCACCTGCAGTGTTATTTCTTACTGCAGGTTATCTACCTGGGAAAGGTATCAAGGGAACAAGGCTTCTGCACTACGAAATCAATCTGTCTAAACTATTCAGGAAAATCATAAAAGGTTCACAGTTAGGTTTGGATGTGCTATGCAGTATGAGTAGCAGAAAGAATGACAAATTAACAGGAAATAGCATTTTGATCTACGTCTTTATACTTCTGGTTGCACATCTTAAGAAGCCAAAAAAAAAAAAAGGGGGGGGGTGGGTGGGTTGGTTTGAGGAAACCCACTTGGGATTAGGTGCCTATAAGATCACCATAGGCACGTCTCCCCTATGGCCCCCTATCCTATAACTCACTTCAACAATCAGGAGGTGATGCTCAAGTGCCTGTTGAGCACTGAACATTTCTGCCTAAAGAGAGGCTAGTTTCAAGCCAGCAAGTACATTTCCAGGGAAAAAACATGTTTATTAATGTATCCACTGTGCTGTGGCCTCTTCTGAAGCTTGTTGCTGAGCTTTTCAAGATCTGTAAACATCCAGATGTCTCCCATCTTGACCCAGAGAGCTTCCTGAGAAGCTTTCCTAGCTCGCACTTTTGTGGTTCGTATCTCTGACATGAAACATCTTTCACAATGGAAAAGAAAATCCCTTCATGTGACCATCAGGTCAACACTCTGTGGATCATTAGGCAGCCCAGCATAGGAGCACTGTTTTGAGGAACACAGTGGAGAGCACAGTAATGGACACTTCTGATCTGGCATATCCTAAATACTGAATACTTGGATAATTTATGCTTATGCATACAGTCCTTGGTGAGAGAACAAAACAAGATCTGATAATGTTTCTCTTAAGCAAGCCTCAACAAAAGCTTGTTTGACATGCAACAAAGTTGCTGTTTATTCTTCTTTTTTTGGAGGCTTCATATGAATTTTTGTAGTCTTGGGTTATTGCCCTGGGAAATGGAATATAATTTGAGTGACTGAACGCACTGTCTTTATTTTGACTGTGAGAAGGGTTGGGTCTAAAAAACAAAGAAGCTTCCATGCAAGCAGCCCAGACAAGGGTAGCCTTTTCCATCCAAGCAAATTGTGCAGCAGGAACGAGATCTACAAACAACAATTAAAAACCCTGATGATGACTGCAAGCTGTACATTCTTATTGTGCTGATGGTTTGTGTGCTCCTTTAGTCTTTTCACGTTTTCTCAGACAGCAAGAAATGCTGGTCTGTAGCAGAAAGGTCACACAAGTGAAGATGAGAAAGATACTGGAGAGCTTCAGAGGGGGTGAACCGTCAGAGCAACCTATATGGAAGAGCAAAAGGTCTGTGAAAGATAACTGAGGCCACTGCACATGAATTCCTCCACTGGAGGGGTGTGACAGAGACAGAGAGAGAGCTCTGTATGTGTTGCAGTCACTTTGAGAGAGTTTCCCAGTTTTCATCCCCCAGCTGCATATCAAGACTGGAAGACGCAGGACCCCAGTAGACCAAGCATCTCCAGCAATCTCATGGCTGCAGATACTTCTTGGACTGATGGCTGATATGAACAAATATTTAGGAGATTAAAAAACCTCTCTGGTATGGCAGGAAGTATTTCTGTATTAACTTTGGTCAACACTAACAAACTTCAAGTTAATAAGTGCATTATCCCTGCTTTTTGCTTTAGTACTAGTCCAATTAGAGGATCTCATGGTGAAAAAACTACCATATAAGCAATGTGTTGATTCATGAGAATTAATGGGTGGTTAAAATAAAAATAAAAATAATAATAAAAAGAAAGGTAAAATGAACTGTAAGCAATATTCTGGGTAACAGAGATAAGGAAACCATGTCTATTCTATTTTATCTATTATATTTTTTTTTATCTTGGTAATGTCTCTTTGAAAACGATGACAACATTTGTAGCTGCCTGAGGATTCTGTGGGAAAACATCTACTTTTTAGCAGTGTTATCTTCTCCATCTGTTCCTATGATTTCTGTGTACTGCTGTTGTGACAACAGATCAGTTACAGCTATTCTAGTTTCCAATTGAACTTAGATTAATGGGTCATTTTAAGGCCTCCTCTGAATCAACTGCATGCTCTACATAAGTTATATGTGAGTCAAGGTATTTTGTTATCTAGAGAAGCAAAGAAAATGTTTTCTTGACCAATATATTGCTATATATTTTGCCCTACTTGTTCTTTTTCCAGTGGAAAATGGAGAAGAATGTAGTGCAGAATATCATGTAACTTTCTCTGTTTAGCTGTGTGATGTTAATATTTTATTTCGGTTATTTACAGTGTATAAACTTGGAGTTCAGTGAGGTAAATGGGGAAGTTGGAATTCACAAACATCACTGCTAGTCCCATGAACAGTTGAAGTCAACAGGTCTGAAACTCTCCTCAGTGTGTATGAAACCGACTGTGCAAACACTAAATAGTCACTTAAAATGACATTTGCAACTTAGAGGTAAGAATACTTACAGAAATTATTCCATTTGAGCAAATTCGCCTTTCCCAGAAAGACCCTTCTGAGTCACTTGAAACTTCATATCTGACAAGGGAGAGGGAAAACCAGCTAAGAGCAGCCTGAAGCAACCAAGATCGCTTGGTCAAGTGCAAGATCTGGGTTGTGACAACAAAAGGGGCTGTTACGTGGCAACTGATGAGAAGCAGGAGCGTGTTTAAGCAGCACTAAAGTAAACAGGTAAGAGTGCTGGGCTGGATGGAGATGTGTGTCTGTTCCACACTGTAGAGTGTGATCTGAGATATCTAAACAAATTTCCAGCGCATGCTCTTATGGCCATCCCCCTCTCCCACACCCGGGTTGAATTCAGGCATGTAAGCAACCTTACTGCAGCCACTCTGACACAGCCACCAGTGGAAAGAAATCCAGCCAACTATTTAAATGACTATTGATCCCAGGGACTCAGCAGTAGTCTCTGCAGTGACATTTACTGGGCCTCACTATGTGGCTGTGACCCACGTTGTCTTTGTAGGAGCATGACCTCTGTTCAATCCTGATGTGTTGAAGCAACTTCTTGATAACTTGCATCTCATCTGCTTCACAACTAACGCCATAATCTATCTAGGAGAGGAGAGAAGAGGTTACTCCAGAAAGATTTGCCCTTACTCAGAGACACATAATGTTGGCAAGTACAGCATTTTCCTTTGTCACTTGTTCCAGTAAGTCTCACAGCTGAAAATATCTGTCACTGTTTCTGATTTGATGATTCAAATTCACTTGGATTTAACCTTCAGATACTGACTCTTTTTTTTTTTTTCCTCACACAGGAAATTGCACACAGAATCTGACCCTCTCTTCAGCCTGTTTTTTGAAGAATTAGAAGCTTCTTCCTGTCTCTGAGCACAAAAGCAGTTTTTCCAGCTTTCAGTTCATCTTGGCGACTCTTTGCTGCAGGCTCTGTACCCTTGCAAGTCCCTTTGAAAATCAGGACACCAGAATTACTTGCTGGTATCTATGTTGACAACGGAGCTAAATTTAATTCTCTGCTCCTCTGATTATATACCCAGGATCTAGGCTGCTGGCAATGCCCCAGGTAACTGCTGCTCCTTGTCTGGTGTCACCTCTTGAGCTGCCATAAGGGAGTTGTTATTCCTGAGGATCCTGTTGCCCACCCCATGACAATGGCCTGGCTTTTGTCTTGTGGCTCTTTGATGTGCAACTCCATTTGGCCATGGCAATCACAGCACGTTTTGGCTCTAACCTCACACTTGGTGCAGGGCACACCCAGAACTGCTCATGGATTCCCCAGTCTGGAGATAAGGGTTGAAGCTCAGACTCAGTGAGTGATGGAAGTCGTTCTGCATCACTGTTCCTTCCTCATCATTGTGCATCTCTTCATCATTTATCCATGTTGCTAGGAATAATTTTTATATACTTCTCAACTGAGAAAGTTCAACTCTAATATAAATCCCTGCAGAACAATACTAGAAATGACCCCTTGACAAATAATTTAATAGCTTAAGACATTTAGTGTGTTGTATTGGTAGCGCTAGCCCATGTGTCACAAGGGACTCCTGTAAGGAGAATCCAAGAGTATTTCTTCTGTCAAGCTCCTTTATCATGCAAACTGGTAATCTTGTCAAGAAAGGAAAGACTTTTTTTTTTACAAACAGATTGATTTTCCATAAAGCTATGTGGATCAGCATGAATTAAACTGTCTAACTCTGCTGTTTCTTCCGTTTTCAAGGCCTTTTGTTATTTTTTATTTGCTAATGTCTAATGTCAGGCTCAACAGCTGAAATCAGGCTGCTGCTGACACAGAATCAGCATGTTCCCACGCTTCTGGGATTTGTATGATGCTCTGAGATCTCTACAAAATTACTATCAGAAGAGGTCATTTTTCTTTTTTGCTAACACTAAAAATCCTCAATCGTATTGAATAGTTTGTCATCTCCCTCTAGCAATCGGATGGTACTGCAGATAGTATTTTGCTCCTGGTAGATGGAAAACAGGCTGTCCTTCTTCTCAGCGCAGCCAGCCAGCACAGCACCCTGTCACCAGCAGTGTGCAAAAGCAATAGATGAGGAAAGCTGATAAGCACAGGTGAACAGCCCCAAGTTCTCTGCCAATAGCCAGCCACAGTACTCATATTTCTCTTGTTTTCCTACACAGTGTATTTTCTAATTTGTATTACTTGCCTTTACATTCCCTACGTTCACTATTATGTATATGTCCATAGGTGTATCCAATCTCACAAGCTTCCTCTATCGTTATTAAAATCTTACAGAATTACATATGCATTTGTTGAAGCTCCCTTGATTGCAGAAGAGGCACTTTATAGCCCTGGCTAAGAAAACTTTTGGATATGCCACTTCAGTACCTGTTGATGCATATTCCTTGTACTGACCTGCCTAAAGGAATGCAAATCTCAATGAAGCACTACTGAATAGCTGTCTTCTGTTGTTGGCTTGCTCAGGGAACATGTTTACACAAACTCCTTTTTTCCTCCCCATTGAATAGTTGTGAGTCCATAGAGCGATTTTTCAGCAGCTTTTCACATATATGCTTATAAATATTAGAATATGTATAAATACGATATATTTACAAGACAGATCAATTAATGACCTGACTATGCAGAAGCATCTGTAAAAGTAAGATATCTAGCAGATAAGAGAATACTTACTTTAGTTTACTTTAGTGCATTGCCATAATCTAATTAATCTTATCAATTATTATGTACTTGTAGGCCAAACAGGCATGCTGTAGAGAGAAAAGGAGAGTGTCTTTAGATGGCTTTGCCAATTGGAGAGTGCACTGTATGAGAGCATGTGTCATTCATTTAATTTAATTCATGATTAACAACTCCTTAACATGATTAGCACTTCTCTAATTGTGATTGACATGAGAAGTAGTTCATCAGTCTTTCCACGTATGCAGCTTCATTGATTGTTAAAATGGAAAAGCAAACGCATTTGGCAGTCAGCAGTCCAGCATTTTGGAAAGTTCCAGGGGCTCTTCCAGCAACGTCCCAGTAAATCTCTAATTACATCTGACATGAATGGCTTTACCCGTATCCCTGTGTTTTTTTTTAAAGCTGGCATTTGTCTCTCGTGTTGAGATGGTCTCCAACAGGTGGCCTTTCGTTGGACGGCTACCAAGCGACACTGGTGGCAGCACAAATCTGCTTCTGCAGATGAAATACATGGGATATGACAGAGTCAGAAGGCAACATAAAGTGCAAGGGAAATGTATCCAGATAAGCTGTGGTCAGTTCTCTTTTTTCCAGTTTTCTTTTTCTTTTTAAAGATCAGCTTATCTGACCTCTGCTCTTCTCTTAAAAAACCCAGATTTACCCATTCACTGACTTCAGATTTAGTCCAAGGGCGTTCAGGAGGCAAACACTGTGTTAATTCTTTCCACTCCATGTGCTGTGAGAAAAGTGTTTGTTGTAGAGTGCGTTCTCTTTTTAAAAAATAAGCTCTCGCTCATCAAAATTTACTCCTTCTTACAGTTTTTTTTTTTTTTTTTTTTGGTACCACATGGTGAAGCCGATGCAGCTCTGTGGCTTAACATCAATGTGTAGGGCCTTTTGTTTAAGGTAACTCAGTACATCACAGGAGAAGAAGTAGACTTCCTTCTTTCTGCTAGGTTGCATACAGCCTCAAGGATATCTCAGACATTGGCCTAACTTCCCAGGCAGTGAGGGAACTGCAGAGTCCTCAGCCCACCTCCAGGCTGGGGCTATTTCCTCCCTGTCAGAAGGTTTCAAAATTAAATCTTCTTCCAAGCGGCTGTAAACTGGTCCCTGTGGTCTGAGCCTCTAAAATTGCATTAGGGGAAGGAGGATGTTGTAGATGGAAGCTGGCATGGAAATCCCAAGTGCAAACCCTCCCTGGTTTTCTTAAAGTTTGCAAACACAGAGGTGATACCACGGATAACCACGGTGATAATAACAAAAAGACACATTTAACATTGAGTGCTTATACTCTACGGGCATTGCTTTTGCAGAATGAAAGGCCTTCAGTGGCAGTGTCTATTGAGACCAAGCCCCATCTTTACTGCAGTGCTTTCTCTGTGGTACTCAGCTCGAGATGCAAGGGAGAATGTAAAGTTACAGGTGAATGGGGACTACTGAGTATGAAAGGAGAAGCAGATCTGCCCTCTTGTGTGCAAGGCATCTACTGCAATGAACCCGAAATGAATCTGGAGTGAATTTGCTCTTTGTAGTAATAAATGAGGAAAACATATCAGTGTTTCAACATTAACATGAAATGAAAAATAGGAAGAGAAAGAATGAAGGCTGACATTCAAGGTTTAAAGGTGATTTCTTTTGATGAACTAGTTTGTGAATCTTAAGGCAGTAGACTAATGAGAGTGGCATATACAAGAGAAGGTGTTCTGAATATCAAGGCTAAAAAACTTAAGGATAAGAAAGTATGAGTAGTAAAAAACCCTCTGAATAAATCTAAGTGCCAGGGAAACTCAACTAGCTGCAAAATTATTACTCATAAAAGTAAGCCTTTTTTAATTATTATTCTTTTTTTTTTTATGTGTGAATGTAATAGCTTGAGCATTTTCATTGCACTCATCACAGCAGTAAAGGCTGTGAGGGGTTTCGGCTGAGGTAAGCATATTTTGCTAGCCTTAATTAAGGCAGAAAGGGACACAGGGCAGCTGACTACACAGGGCTGGTAAGGTCGGGCTGAGCTTACGCATCCTCCACTCTCTTGCTGTTTCCTTCTGAAAATTCACGACCAGCTCCCTTAGACCCATACCTTCCCAAATGCCATATAGTAGAGACTTAAAAAATGATAACCATGGAAAGCTAGTCAACAAAATTAGAAAACAACGTTCTTGACAAAGAATCAATAGTGCAGCATGAAGTATTTTCAGGATACGGCTTGGTCTTGCTCCACTCTCGTACTGGCAGGCCCAGCGGTTAGTGGCCTTGTAACTCACTGCTCACTTTTTGCAGCACTAAAGAAGAATCTGAGAGTAGATCATGGGTTTACAGCCCAATAAAGCAATCTGATGTGAAATCTGCATGCACTTTTAGAACGTGGGTGGCAGAAAAAAGGTTTATTTGCAATTTGTCTCCATTACTCCAACAGTACAGTAGAACTGATGGCATCCCTTTGTCTCTTCTTTACAACAAGAAAGCAATTATAGTTTTGGCCTGTAGATAAAGCAAGATGCAACGAAATGAATAAACTCTGCACCATATAAGAATTCCATCATACATAGAAGTGATACATGCTGGTTAGCTACTTTTTCCTGCAGTTCTCACATTCTTGTTTCATCAGAGTCTGTGCAAGTAGTGCAGTGAAAAAAGCAATAGAGCAATCTCACATGAACTGGACTACTTTTCTCTGCAGCAAAACTGCATCAGCAACTAATGTGACTCCATAGACCGCAGGTACATGTAGCATCATTCCATTATAAAAAGCCCTGGCTACCTTCCCAAGGCCAAACATGAATACAAAAATGAACCAAGTAAATTTTCTGCCAATGAGATAAAAATTATTCTTCCGATTCCATCTTTGTTAATGGTCAACTGACCCATGTTAAATTGATTATTGCAGACTTGGGGGACTGTGTCTTTTTACGCTCGTTTGTGTTATTAAATGGTGTAATTAGCATCTGTCTGACTTCTGAGGTTGCACTTTGAAACAGCAATGCTCTGTTTCATCTGTGTTGCGTGGCCAGCATAGGGACAGTTTTACAGGCTGCAAAGGGACATGTCTGGGAACACCGGGAGAAGGACAGATCAGATGTTCCCAATTAACCAATTCTAATTAAAAGAAAGACCTAAATAAT